AAGGTAAAACTAATGAAAAATACATAAAAATATTGAGAAAGTTATATAAAACATTATTTAAATATCTTTATCAACAGGGTAGGTTAGGTTAGGTTACGTTAAGTTATCGGGTTCTGTTCAAGTGACCACCCTCTTTCGATCCCCCACCTCCACCCACTTGAAAATAATTTTTTTATTGAATTTTATTTGAATTATAGTGTATGAAAATTGTCAAAATAATCAACTTTCAACCCCCATAACTTTTTATGGGGGTAAGACCGCCGAAAATTTTTTATGGGTTTTTACTCAGGTGACCACCCTCTTTCGATACCCCAACCCCCACACCAGAAGGTGGGGAGGGGCCATTATCTAACACCCACAACTTTTTATGGGGGTGAGACCGCCACGAACTTTTATGGTACAGTGGTAGGGAAGACCTCCTCTTTCGATCCCCCCCCACACCCACCCCCTTCGGGGGTGGGGGCCATCATCTAGACCTTTACCGAAGGTAATATTAGATAGTTACTTTTACGGAAATCAAAAGGAAATTTGGCGAAATAGGTTGATAGAACGCCTTCTCAGACATGAAGGGCTAGAAGCAGAAACAAAAGATAGAGAGAGGTAGAATTAGATTAGACTATTGTTGTTAAATAGAGTTGCAGGTTCCGTGGAATCCGGCGATTCCGTAGATATCACTGAAAGGTTTCGGCAGTACTTAGACTGTGCTTTTTCTTATAATATATCGAAGACAAAACAATAAAAATTCACGTTCCATGAAATTAAAAAATGGAATCCCAACTATTAATAATCGCCTTGACTATCCTAATATAAAGTGGACCTTTTTTGTAGCATCACAAAGTCTATTGATTCATATTTTACGTAATTTACAAAAAATTCAATGGAAAATGAAAATATCACCTACTTCTCTGAAAACTATCCTAAAAATAACCGAACTCTCAAAACTTTTTTGAATAAAGCGTGTAGTTGGATGTTTTATTTTGTAAACTGGTATATAGTTAATTTTAAACTAATTGCAGTTGTTTTGGTGGTGGTACGGCACAATTACTATTTTATTTTCTTTTGTTTCAGATACAAGAGAGACAGGGTTTGTTAACGCCATCACGGCAGCAGGGGTGACATTTGCAATTACGAAAGCGTGCACGATGGGAGATCTTGTCGAGTGTTCCTGTGACAAAAATATGAAGAAAATGAAAAAACTTAAGAAGGGAGAAAAAATGAAAAATTTAAAAAACGTTCCAGTTCCCGAGGGAGATTGGGAGTGGGGAGGCTGTGGTGATAATATTAATTTTGGTATAAGGAAATCGCGGGATTTTATGGATACGAGGTATAAGAAGAGGAGTGACATGAAAACGCTAGTGAAATTGCATAACTACGCCGCTGGTCGGTTGGTAAGTAATTGCACCTGTAATTGAAATTTTGTGTGATTGGAACTGAACTTTTAAAGCACGTACAGGTCGGACGAACGAAGCTGGCGAGCGATCGCGCAGGTACTTGCCCATTTATACAGGGTGTCCCAGTTATAATAATTAAAAAAAAAACCATGGGTTCCTGACACAAAATACAACAAAAAAGTGTTATACAATTTTTCAATACAGTGACAATTGAGCTCGCAAATCGTCTTTGTAAATTTGAACATACAATTTGTTTCATTACGGGCCTGGATCTGGGCGACTAACGTCGCTCAGCTGATCTANGTCTTTGAGAGCGTCTCTCACAGTCTCTTAATTATTGTCTAGGTGTTTTTATGGATCTCTCACAGTCTCTGTATGAGAGACTCGAACGATAAAATTGTTAATTCAGAGATTCGAGTCTCTCACATTTGAATGAAAAATTAAGAGACGGGTCTCTTGGGTCTCTCGTACTTTTTTGTTCTGTCTGGGACGGGGCGGTCAACGCTAGAAATTATCGCTAATAGTGTATAAATAATACTTTTACATTGGCATAATTTTCAATATTCTATTTGCTTATTTTTAAAACCAACTTTAAATAACAATTTTAATACATTTTTATTCAAATCTAACCAAGGTCTGTGATCTAAACCCAGTTATAATTGACCATTGAATATACCCAGATTCTTCTTAAATATGATACAAATCAAATCAAAATCCTATTTATTCTTTTCTGCTGCTAAATATGACCACGGTTGTATGGTACCTATACGTATTTCATTTCAATAACTTACTCATACTTACTCAAATTCCATAAATAAATGAGAAACTAAATCTCCAATAATACCCACCTACACCTAATTTTTAAGTAAAGCTTGTAAATTAAATGATAATTAAAGATACACTTACCACATAAGCAACATTATACAAACAGAAATATTCCACAACGTGAACGTTCTAATACACAAATAAACACATGCATTTTTTTCAAAACATTTTTCAGTGCAAATTCTCATGATTTCTGATTGTAAACGCGTTTAAATAACACGGAACTTTTACTCATACTAATTTTTAAATGTGAGTTTGTCATCGTATTCGACACGACAATATCTAGTTTATCGGAATGACTTACAATCCTTGATTGTTTCAAGGGTATTATTATACACAAACAAGATGGTTCAGACCAATTCTTATCTTCAACATAAAATTGCTGTCATTAGTATAAAAAACATTTCAAAATTTCGACCATTCTAACTATAGTTTCCAAAAAGAGACCTGCACATTTCGAGAGTTTTGATCATGTATTTTTGTTAAAATCAAATTATTTACTTTTTGTACTAAACAGTGGACTTAAAACTAAAAGCATCTGAAAATGTTTTCCTTAAATAAGTTTTAGAACCTACTCAATTTAGATACGACGTAGGCACTACCTACTTACAGGATCTAATTTAATTATAGTTTGAATAGTTTTTACAGTGCGAATTTAGAAAAATCATATTGAGTCTAATAACAAAAAGGCGCTCTTAATAACAGTAGAAATATTCTAGATAATTGTTAATACATATGTTTATGTAGATTAAAAAGTAGCAGTAAAAATGTAAATCCTTATCTAACTCCTTCCCTAATACATCGTTATGTTGCGGCCCAATCCTAAAATTGCCTGTTACTCCTTACAAAAACTATATATCTGTCGTCTACGTCTGTGTCTAAACCCTTTACTTTTAAGTAACTCAAATTTATTTACCCAACTATTCCTCAATATATATATTAATTGTATCAAACCAATTTTGGTTTTTCTACCAAGAGGATAAGTTTCTCTTGAGGACATTTAGATTAATTGGTGGAGTCACATTAATACAATCTTGAAAATGACATCATAGAGGGAGTCGAAATGACGATAAAAAATCAGAAGGTTTACCCCGATGACTTTAATTTGAACCAAATAAAATTCAAAAAAATGTTCCTATTGGTCGGAAAACCAAAATTGGTTTGATACTATTAACTTTTCAGTATATTTAGCATCCTTTCTCATTTAACATTATTCTAGAGCTACGAATCCTATATGCTCTTTACCTTCTCAATCTTTTTCTATCCTACAGGCATTTTATTTGTCGTATTAGAATCTATTGGAAGGAATAAAATGAGATTGCGAAACAAAAAGACATCTGCTCGGATCGAAAAATTTACTAGATTCTTGCGTTTTTTGTGTGTAATGCATCAATTATCGGCATACGTGTAACACTGCAATCGATTAATTGGCAATAAATCAAAAGTGCCGTGTACTGACGAATCACTCAGGCCGTCGCCGGATGCCTGCAAGGATAGTGGAATAACAGCACGTCCTTCGTTGCCTTTGAAGTTGACAACGTCGGGAATTTGTCAATCGGTAAAAACCAACAAAGCGTTCGCAGCCGTTGCCCATAAGAATGCGACCGTTAAAATAAAATCACATACGAACGATCCTTTTGATCGCCTTGTTGCCAACTGCGCCATAATTGTCCTGCGGATAGTTAATCTGAATTAGAGGTTAAGAAACCAAACATTGTAATACATACGCTACCTAAAAAATACAACTTTTGTTTTAAATACTACTTCTACAAAACCTCGCCCTACCTCACATTTCGATGTAACTGTTTTAGAGTGAATTACAATTTTAAAATTCCGTAAAGTAATTCCTAATATTAGAAATCGGTTCTATGAGTATCCGGATTGAAACTGGCTCTGCTCCTTTGGTGAATCATGTCCCCCTGACGTTCCCTGAAGAAGGAAAACCAATCCCAAACCACAAGCATTTCCCTGAAGACACCAATCACATCATTTGATGCTGAGAAGAAAGAAAGACAAATCCAAACCAGTAACACAAGGCAATCGATGTCCAATAAACCAAATTCAAATAAAGTTGGCCGCGAAAGTCAGCTTGTCCACCATTCCTTATTAAATACCTACACCAGTTGACACTTTGGGTCAGTTTCTCTGTCTGTTGTAGATTGAAAGTTTTATATACTCCAGTAATGCGTTACTTTATATGTTAAAGATAACTGTATCGCTGTGAAGCATCTTTTTTAATTATCGAATAGATTCACCTTATATCTCTGTATCCTTTTATTCTCTTGTGTTACTTTCTCCTTAAAGCGAACATTCGTTATACTCTGAAGATTTCCAAAATTCTTTATTGGTACTTTTCAGTCCAATAATTTGAGAAACAATTACTACTCATTGAGACATTGAAGTAGAATTGCTTGATATTAGTTTCTAAGTATTTCTTATTATTATTTTTGCAAGCTACAGAGCAGCGATTTTTCAAATTACATATTACAATGTCTTTACATTGTGTACCTACAATTACCAGAATTAGGTTGAAAGATGGAAATTAAAATTTCACGGCGTAGTTAGGATTTCCAGATACTAAACCTTCGTCTTTTGTTAATTTTCAAAATTGGTGTTCAAAGTTCAGTTTAAAACTGATAAAAAAATACCACCTTCTACTATTTCTTGTAAAGAAAAAAAAATCTGTCTAAAATATTTTTGAGGCGATTATAAAGGAACAATCAATATTTATAAGAACTTCTATCCAACTTTTTACGGTGTCATCTCAATTTGACGATCCCTCCTAGCATATCACCGGATACATCTTCATACGCTGGGAGATAAAATTAACTTCTTTCCAAAATGTACGATTGCTTTTCCGGCTATTTGACTTGATTACAAGTAATTTTTGCTATTTACCAAGTTTATTTGGAACATTGTTTTGGAAACATTTTAGTGTTTACTTAACAACAACAATTATATCTGTGTATAATTAATACTTAAGAAAAACAAAAATATTGGTATGCAAGGGAAGAAAAAGTGGGGAAAGAGTAAATATAAAGATAGGAGACAAAGTCGCCGATTTTCGATATCTATTAGGAAGTCAGATAATTCAGGATGGAAGGACCAGTAGAGGTATTAAACAAAGGATAGTGCAGGTTAGAGTCGCCTTCAACAAAACGAAGTCGCTTCAAACGTGAACGGTTAATGTAGAAATTTAAAAAAGATTGTTAAAGGCGAAACGTGAACGGTATGGGTTAGGCAGAAAAGAAAAGATTTGAAGCGTTCGAAAGGCGTTGTTACAGGCGAATGATAAGGATACCGTGGATAGAGAAGGTTAGAAATGATGATGTACTGGAGAGAGTAGGAGAACAGAGGGCACTAAGTCAGCAAGAAATAGGCGAGAGAGGTTGGTATAATTAACAGAAACAGGAGTTGAGAGGAGTAGATGTAGATTAGCTTACTGTTCACAAAAATTTAAGGATATGAGATGTTCAAGTTTTAGGGAAATTCCAAGATTAGCTTAGGAAATGAGGCTCAGTTTATGTAGGTAAATTAACTAAGTAATGCTGGCAACATTGCTGAGAAGGATGAACGAAATGCTGGACTCTGTCCAGTATCGGCATCGGCAAGCAGCGATGCTGCGTAGATTGTTAATAATTACGTGCCATCCGAGATGTATTTACTTACTTGCATAACCTCTCTTCGAGGCATTCCGTATGTCAAACCGGTGGCAAATTTATGTTGACGCTCGGGAAATGCAAGCGGCTCGCCGATCCAATACCTGCTACTACCACTTCTTATTATTCTTCTTCACTCACTTCTTCTTCTTCTTCGGAATCTTATATTCTAAGAGGTCATTCTCCACTAAATCAAACAAGGATTCATTGTCGACCGGGGAACTCCTAATGATGCTCCGCACTTTTTGTCACTTTAAACAATACGTTTGGGGGCATTTTATTGTGCCGTTGCCATTGAAATAGCAGATGGATTAAAGACGGGGGAGCTTTTTGATGATTCTTTATATTTAGCGTTTTATTATAATATTTTTTATCGAATAAATACGCGTCGTTTCATGTTGAACTTGGAAAGACATGTTTGATACATAACAGCAAAGTCCATCTCACATAAAATACCAAGGGGACTGTCATCCCGGCAGTTTAGGATATAGTGAACGCACATATGCATATGTA